CAAGGAGAGCTGCGCCAGCATAGCATTCTGCAGGACGGCTAGCACGAACCATCCCATCAAAACAGTCCTGACAGAGGACGTGTTGTCCACATGTCAAAAACAAGGCAGGACGTTCATCACAGTGCGGCATCATACAGTTCTGATAGCGTCCTTGGGCACAATAGGGACAACGTATATCTGGGTGATAGGGATGTGTACAACGAGGAAATGTTGAACACCCTTCAGGACAGACGGCGGCAGTCGCAATAGATTGATAATGGCTATGGCATAGATGATGCATTCCACAGCCAAGGCGCACCGCGTCTCTGTCCCGACAGGCGTCACACGAGAGTCGGTCAATAATCCAGAATAAAGTATGATTCGACAACGCTCGCAAAAATTCATTCACGTCGAAAATGACCTGACTCATCATCCCACCATCCCACAGTTCCCACTGGGCAGCTGCACGTATAATGCCCGTGTCTATGTAAAATACAGGCAAAAATATGAGGATGGTTATTGAGGTCATCGCCTGGCGTCGCATGATGCATAAAGGAGAAAAAGAAGAAAAGAAAAATGAATTCAGTTTTTTATCTTCTTCCTTATAACTCCCCCTGTTCAGAACCTCTTGCGTACAAGGCCGCCCACGTGGATGTAGGTTGAGCGGCGGCTGCCCCCACCCCCGTGTGTCATATCGACCCACTTGCACACAGCCAAAAGGCAAAGAGGCAAAGAAAAGAGGAAGGGAACAGCCAAATACAACAAAACAGGGGGAAGCAAACATAAACCAATCCTAGATGACAAGTCCCACATGCAAGCACCGCCCCCACCACCAGGGCCAAACAACGGGAGAAGACCAACCAGGATTCAAGAACACCCTTGCCTGCAAACAAACAATCCCAGATAACATACCTTTCGTGCGCGCCAGCTCCAAGAATCCTTTGGGATTGATTTTATTGTTGTTGTTGCAAAAATTGGTACCGATTCAAACTGTCAAGCCACCGCTTCGCTGGTCTAAACTAAGTTACTGGGACAGCACCAACAGCAAAAAAAACATGAAGGACAATCCTAGATGTCGATTCCCACAAAAAAGCACCGCCCCCCGCACAGGCCGAACAACGGGAAGCAACCACCTAGAATGCCAAAAAAGAAAAAAAACCGGCATATATATATACTCTTTTTCCCTTTGCATTTCACGGGTTGTGGTGGTGCGTTGTCAATGGGTATTGACTTATCATTGACGCGTTTATAACTGTGTGACTATTAAGGGCCCTCGGCAATGAAGGAAACAGCCCTGCCTGCGCCCGCCCTAAGTGAAGGGGGGCCAACCAAAAACTTATTCGGGCCTGCATAGAGAGGCCGTTGATGAGAGCAGGAATGAGCCCGAAGGCTGGTTGCCGCATGCAGCATCTCCAACAAACAAGTAACCCAGTTGGTTGAAGATGCTGAGACCCAGGGCCCAGGGCACTTACCGTTGAGCCCCAGGCACATGTTCAAAGGTCCCCACGGGCGCAGCTACTGGGACAGAGGCTGCTCAGTCCAGGCCTGCCTCGCGCATCCAGCCAGCACAAAAGACGACAAGCTCATTCGGGACACTCTGGCTGGCCGGAGGCAGCAGAGCTGCTGAAGCGCTCGCTCGTGCAGATGAGCGCTAGGCCAGAGGAGGAAGAAGGGTGATGGTGGGGCGCACGGAACAAGCTGCGAGGGCGCAGCAAGACGGCACCACGCAGCCATAGCCGGGCAGCCTGAGCGCATAGCCGGTGGGGTGCGGCAGTGGTCCTTTGGTGCAGACAGACTGCATCATGGAAGGTTGAGGGGGTGAGCCGTGTGATTGTGAGGCACGTACCTGGTGTCCACAAGCCCGGGCTGATCACTCAGAGAGTCTTCATGTGGCGTCGAGCAGATGAACTTCATGCAGACTACGACCTGTTGCTGGCATTAGGAGTCCATAGGGGTAGGAGGAGTAGGCTGTCTAATCGTCTGGGCGTCGGGCTCCATATATCCATATAGGATTGCAACCTTGGTGACAGGCAAGATGAGGGGCTTTCATTATCACAAGTGATTTCAATGCTCTGGTTCAATTTCATTTGGTGTGATACCTTGGTCGATTCTGCTTTCAGTCTCTGCTCGAAGTTAGTTGACGTCATTCGCATTGTTCGTTTTCTTGCGTAATTGTGATAGCAATGGTTACTGATGCGTTTATATCGCAATGGCTACAGAACTCTCCTCCCCCTTCCCGCTCCCTGCCCTCCCCCAAAAAAAAGAAAAGAAAAGAAAAGAAAAGAAAAGAAAAGTGTAATGACCCGCCAAAACACAGACTGGGAACACTGCTGATTTCTGGGATTTGCCAATGGGTGGTCCCAAGTCTGTGTGTATGCGTGCCTGCTGGTTTGCATGCCTGTCTGAGTGCTTGCCGGTTGTGTGTGTGTGCGTGCCTGCTGGTTTGCATGCCTGTCTGAGTGCTTGCTGGTTGGGYATGTGTGTGTGACCCGCAAGGGTACTTGTTGGTTGCAAGGCCCACCGGGCCGGTATGTGGCCGTGACTTTGAAGGGTTGCAGGGGGGTAAACACGCCGGTAGCGGGGAGTAGGCCCACGGCACTTAGAGCAGCTGGGGAAAAAC